TCCTGTCTCCCCATTTCCTGGATTTCCCCATTTCCCGTTCCCCCCATTCCCCCCATTTCCCATCCTTTTCCCATTTCCCCATTTCCCCGTTTCCCCCGTCCCTCCCCATTTTCTGTCCTTTTTCCCCATTTCCCCGTTTCTCCCCATTTCCCGTCCTTTCCCCATTTCCCCATTTCCCGTTCCCCCCCATTTCCCGTCCTTTTTCCCCATTTCCCGTTCCCCCCGTCCCTGCCCTTTTCCCGTCCTTTCCCCATTTCCCGTTTTCCCCCGTTTCTCCCCATTTCCCGTCTTTTCCCATTTCCCCGTTTCCCCCCATTCCCCCCATTTCCCGTCCATTCCCCATTTCCCGTTTCCCCCATTCCCCCCATTTCCCATCCTTTCCCCATTCCCGGATTTCCCCCGTTTCCCCCCGTTTTCCCCATTCCCGGGTTTCCCCCATTCCCCCCATTTCCCATCCTTTTCCCCATTCCCGGGTTTCCCGTTTCCCCCATTCCCGGGGTCCCCCGTTTCCCCTCCTTTTCCCCATTCCCGTCCCCCCCGTTTCCCCCTGTTTCCCCATTCCCGTTCCCCCCGTTTCCCGTCCTTTCCCCATTCCCGGGTTTCCCGTTTCCCCCGTTTTCCCCATTCCCGGGTTCCCCCGTTTCCCATCCTTTTCCCCATTCCCGTTCCCCCGTTTCCCATCCTTTCCCCATTCCCGTTCCCCCATTTCCCATCCTTTCCCCATTCCCGTTTCCCCCGTTTCCCCATTCCCGTTTCCCCATTCCCGTTCCCCCGTTTCCCATCCTTCCCCATTCCCAGATTTCCCGTTTCCGCAGGTGAACTGCCTGGAGCCGCACCCTCACCTGCCGCTGCTGGCCACCAGCGGGCTGGACCACGACGTCAAGATCTGGGCGCCCACGGCCGAGGCGCCCACGGAGCTGCGCGGCCTCAAGGAGGTGCGCCCGCTTCCCGCATTTCCCGGATTTCCCGGATTTCCCGGGATTTCCCCGGGATTTCCCCGTTTTTCCCTGGAACATTTCCCCCTTTCTCCCTGGAATTTTTCGCTGGGATTATTCCAGTTTT